GCCTGGGGGCCTGAGGATGGCAGCTGGGACCCATTCTGGCCCGGAGTGTGCGACCCAGTGACCTGTGCTCCCAGAATCCCTGGCCAGAATTAACCCCCTACCCGCCGAGGTCCTGCTGAGCCAGCCTGAGCCTGCCTCCACGGGACACCAGACCTGTGGCAAGAGGCACAAGAAAAGGAGCTTCCTCCGGCCACGCATCATTGGTGGCTCGTCCTCACTGCCCGGCTCCCACCCCTGGCTGGCCGCCATCTACATCGGGAACGACTTCTGCGCGGGGAGTCTTGTCCACACCTGCTGGGTGGTGTCTGCGGCCCACTGCTTCTCCAACAGGTGGGCGCCTCTGGCCAGGACCCCCCACTCCATGCTTCATCCCATCCACCGGTCCCCCTCCCGCCATCTACACTCCGCCCTCCCGGCCGCCCTGCCACCGTCCATCCACACCTCTGCGCTCGCCAGCTGCCGCCCATGTGCCCGTCCACCCTTCACCCCCCATCCTCCCACCTACCCGTCTGCCTGTCCTCACGCACTTGACGCCACCCGTCGCTCAAGTGCCCCCACGTTTCCCCACCTGCCCGTGTAACCCCCACGTCCGGCCCCTCATCTGACCGTCGGCCCACTGACCCAGGAGGGACTCGGCAATCAGCCTGGTGCAGGGCGTGGAAGCTGCAGAGACCAGCCCCACCCCTGCGCCCCGGGGAGCCCCGGCAGTCCTGCGTCGGGGGTGGGGCGGGGCGGCTCTCGGAGGAGTGGCCCGGTGCCGAGAGGGCGATGGGCGGGGCCGTCCTCTGTGAAGATCCCGCCCCTCCCAGACCCCGCCCACCCCGCCTCCCTCCGGGCCGCGGAGGCCTCGCCCACTCAGTGAGCCTGCAGGCGGGCTGGGGCTCCGCCGCCACTTGGGCAGTAGGGGTCCAGGGCGTGGGGCCCACCGGCACACACCGGAGGAGCAGGAAAGACCAGCCCCTCCCCAGCTTCCACCCGCTGTGATGGGGACAAGGTTCCCCATCTGGGGGTCCAGACTGGGAGGCTCCCCCCTGGGGGGAGGCCAGTGGGAGGGGATGGGCCTGACGGTGGCATCCCGGGGATTAGGGGCTGCGGGAGGTCTGGGGGGTTTGTCAGTGTGAGAGTCTGGCACTGAGCCCCCCTCAGTCAGCCAGGGACCATGGCACGGGTGGGGGGCAGTGGGCTCAAGTCAGGCGAGGGTTTAAGAGGCTGGGGCAGGGGGTGCGCCTGGGTGGCTCAGTCGGTTGAGCCTCCGGCTTCCACTCAGGTCAGGACCTCATGGTTTGTGGGTTTCGAGCCCCGTGTGGGGCTCTATGCTGACAGCTCAGATCCTAGAGCCTGGTCCGGATTCTGTGTCTTCCTCTCTCTCTGCACCTCCCTCGCTCATGCTCTGTCTCTCAGCAATATGATTAATGTTAAAAAAAAAAAAAAAAAAAAAAGAGGCTGGGGCAGGAGAGCAGGGGCCCACTCCTCCCGTCCATGGCAGGGCTGGGGAGGGGCCAGGCAGGGGCAGTGAGGTAGACAGGGGTGTTAGAGGGGGGTTCCTGGACTCCCAGGTGCCCCTCGGGAGGGGCATGCTCCTTTAGCAAAGGGCAGAACCTGGCACCCAGAGCTGGCAGACAGCCCGCTCCTCCCTGCCCTGCACTTGGGCCAGCCCCGTCCTCCTCCTGTCCCTGGAGGCCTGGGGGCTCCAAGCCCTCAGTTCACTGGCCATCCACCCTGAGAGCCCACCTGAGCAAGACCCAAGAATGGCCAGCTCTGGCCCTGGATTGGGTTGACGGCCTTGTCCAGAGGCCAGGCACCCAGCCCTACTGTGTGCTGAGCATCTGGCCAGCTGCCCGTGGCACAGGAGCCCGTCTTCCAGAAGGGCCTACGGCCTGGGACAGCCTAGTGGCCAAGGTCCCACAGTGGCCTGGAGCTGGAGTCCAAGGCAGGAGGGCCAAGCCAGCATGAGAGCTCACCGCTTCCACAGGAGATGGGAAAACAGAGGCCCAGAGAGGGGACCGAGAAGCTGACCATGGGGGCCCAGGGCTGTGCCCAGCAGGAGTGAGGGGCTGTATCTGGGGGCCCCCACAGGCTAGATAGAAGCTGGGTCAGGGCTACCAGGCAGGGCTGGGGTCTCCACCCACTCAGGCCCCGATCAGCACAGCCCCCATGCCCCCGTCTGCATGAGGTCCCCGGAATTACTAAAGGTGTGTGTGTGTGTGTGTGTGTGTGTGTGGCCAGAGCCCAGCCCTCTCCTGCCCCTGCTCAGCCCCCCAAGGGCTGCAGGGGGCCTGCACAGTCCTGGATCTCCAGGACGCTTGAGCCATCATGGGTCATGGGGAGAGCCAACCTCAGGGGCCTGAGGGGAGGGCCCGGGTCCTGCTGTCACCAGCCGTGTCGCACAGCCCCCGCAGGGAAAGTGTCTTAGTGGTCCTAGGCCAACACTTCTTCAACCAGACAACAGACGTAACGCAGACGTTTGGCATCGAGAAGTACATCCCTTACCCCATGTACTCAGTGTTCAACCCCAGTGACCATGACCTGGGTAAGTGAGGCTTGGGGCTCGTTGGGGTGCAACAGGCCAGAGCCAGGAGAGGGGCAGGGGTAGGCACGAGGCCGACCTGGGGAGAGGGGCATGGAGAGAGGGGGAGGGAAAGGTGGGGGGAGGGGAGGGGAGTCGGGTGCAGGGCAGCGAGGGTGCCCGGCACGGCAGAGTGGCCTTGGCCTGGTGGGAGGAGGACCCGGGTCTCCCAGTGCACAGCCCCTCCGTCTCTGGCACCACCCTCTGTCCGGCACGGCCCCCCCGTGTCCCAGGCTGACCTATGGTCTCTCTCCTGCCCAGTCCTGATCCGGCTGAAGAAGAAGGGGGACCGCTGTGCCGTCCGCTCACAGTTTGTCCAGCCCATCTGCCTGCCTGAGCCCAGCAGCCCCTTCCCCGCCGGACACAAGTGCCAGATCGCCGGCTGGGGCCACCAGGATGAGAGTGAGTGAGGGTGGGAGCATCGTGGCCACGGGTGTGGCGGCCCACCCCCCGGCAAGCCTCACCCAGCCTGAGGGCACCTGTCTGCAGACGTGAGTGGCTACTCCAGCTCCCTGCGGGAGGCGCTGGTCCCCCTGGTGGCAGACCACAAGTGCAGCAGCCCCGAGGTGTATGGGGCCGACATCAGCCCCCACATGCTGTGCGCTGGCTACTTCGACTGCAAGTCTGACGCCTGCCAGGTGAGCCAGGGCTCTCAAGGATGCCGGCCCCCCGCCCCGGGTTGGGGTGGGGGGGCGGAGCTCAGAGCCGAAAGGGACCTTGACTTGAAGAGCCAGCAGGGGAGCCGGGCAGAGAGTGCCCCTCCCAGTCAGTGGCCCGCACCCCCAGGCTGGGCATCCACTACTTCTGGAGGCTGTCCCTGTCCCAGCCGACGGGGAGGAGCCCCTCTCACATGATGGGGAGGCTGAGGCCCAGGGAGGGGCAGGGTCTCAAAGCCTGGACGTGTCCCAGTTGCCCAGCCACAGGTGGGCACGTGACACTAAAGGCCAAGTCCCTTTTCATCCAGAGTTCCTCCAAGTGGGCTCAGTCGATCAGCCCGTCCCCAGAGCTGATTTACCGAGGGCTCCACGAGCACTGTCTTGTTCAGGCTACACGTCAACCCCGAGACGGAGGAACAGCTTTACTTGCCATTTTATAGACGGACAAACTGAGGCTCAGAGAGGTCCTGTCACTCTTCCCAGGTCACACAGCTCAGAAGCGGCAGGGTGGGGGGGCCTTGACACTGGCCCACATGATCGGACGAGCACCTTTGGGGGAAGTCAGGATGGGTTTCTGCACGAGGGGGCATTTGCACTCATTTGGAGGACTGAATAGGAGTCTGCCAGGTGGCTGGGAGGGCATTTCAAGGGGGGGGACTGAGCCTGAGCCAGAACACGGGGACCCCCTCCCACCTGGTCCGTGCAGGGCGCGTGCTGGCGGGCCGGCTCGGGAGCCCGATTGAGGAGCTCACTGCTGGGCGTGGGGCTGAGAGGGATCCATGGCACAGGTGCAGTCACAGCGGCCCTGGAACCCGGTGACCTCGTGTCTAGGAGGCTGGGGGAGGGGGGACAGTGCTCCACCTGAAACACCCTTGTCTTCTGTCCCCCACACGGCAGCAAGTCTGCATCGGGAGCTCCTGGGAGTCCTCACCAGAGGCTCCTCTGGAGACATTCTCGGGCCTGGGGCTCGGGAGGCGGGAGCGGGAACACCTCTGTGCTGCTGAGGGGCTGAGCCGGCCTGCCTCTGCTGCAGGGGGACTCAGGTGGGCCCCTGGCCTGTGAGAAGAACGGCCTGGCCTACCTGTACGGCATCATCAGCTGGGGCGACGGCTGTGGGAGGCTTAACAAACCTGGCGTCTACACCCGTGTGGCCAATTACGTGGACTGGATCAACGACCGGATCCGGCCCCCTAAGCGGCCTGCGGATCCCTCCTGAGGCACCCCACCCTTGGCGTGGGCGTCCCGCCTCTCACCGCTCCCAAACTCCTGCAATAAAGATGTCTCTGCGAACCTGGCCCACGCTGCCCGTGCCTCTGCCCCCGGCTCAGCCCTCCGTCCCGGGCCTTGACCCCCGGCCCACGTCTGTAGATGGCGTGGCTGAGGGCCAGGGCTCCCGGAGCCAGGGCCCCACCTTCCTTTGCTCAGTGGAGAAGGGAGCCTGCAACCCCCCGGGAGGGGTCTGGCCCCAAGACCTGGGGGGGTGGGGGGGGGTCAGGGCAGGGGACTTAGTCTGGAGCCTGTCCAGAGCCCGAGCTGTCTCTAGCCACCCCACTCAGGCCACCCCCAGGCAGGTAGGGCTGGGGCCCAGGCACCCCGCGTTGTCCCAGGGCGGAGTCCAAGCCAAATAGCGCATGGGACCTTAAGACTTACGACGGTTCGTTTGAAATGGCTGCTGGCCCTCATTTTCCTTCAAGAGGGCAACCTGACTGCAGCCGTCCCCAGGGGGAAGGCCAGGGACTCCCTCTGAGGGAGACCAGCAGGCCCAGAGACCGCCAAGGGCATCCAGGGCAGTGGGCCACTACTGCTAGGTACCTCCAGGAGCCAAGCTCCTGCAGCAGCTGGCCAGGACACCTTGGGGAAGGATTCACAGATGCTGGGAAGAGCCCAGGATTCCAGGCAGAGAGAGAGAGAGCGGCAGCTGCAAAGGTCCTGAGGCAGGGGTCGTGGCTTGTCTGAATCAAAATAAGGAAGTGTGGTTGGAGACCAGAGGAGGCAGGGATGGGGGGCTGATGTGGGCTGCAGCGAGGTACGGGGTGTGCCCTGGGGTCCCTGACGGGGCTTCGGCAGGGTGGACACGCAAAGACCTCTGTGGCCAGGGGGAGAGACCTGGGTGTGGGGGCAGGACAGAGGGGAGCTGCCGCCATAGCCCTGGTGCCCAGCAGCGCGTGCCTCAGGGAGCCGGGGGGCCCTGGTCTCGGGGAGAGGCCGGGGGACGACCCCACATTCAGTGCCTCCACACGGTCCTCCACGCAGTCCCCACCCACCTCTCCTGCTCCTCGACCCCCAAAGCCTCTTTCTCCCCTGTCGTCTCCACAGCCCCCGCCTTGGACCACGTCTCACCACCTCCCTCTGAAGTGACAGGCCAGGGCTTTCTGAATGTCGCTGCCCTCCTACCTCGGAACCTCCCCTAATCCCTGTGGCCTGACCCCACCTACCTCCCGCCCCTCTTCTGTCCCCGCCCCGCCCCCCAGTCTGTGCTCTGGCCACTCTGGCCTCCCTCTGTCCATGCAACTGACCGGAGCCCTCACTCATGCTGTTCCCACTGCTTCTAGAATGTTCTCTCCCAGGCCACCCCTCCCCCTTTCACTCGGTGGAGCTCAGGTTACTCGTGGAGGCTGCTCCTGAGAGGCCAGGCTAGTCGGGTCCTGCCCCAGTCGTTCCCGTCCTCACGTGTGCACGTGGGTGCAGAGGACATGGGCTTTGCCAGCCGCCTCTGCTCTTGGCCTGTGTCGGGACCGCGTCCCGAGGCTAGGCGGATACAGCGGGAACAAAGGCAGCTTTGTCTTCCTCCTGTGACCCGGTCCGGCGCTCGGCCTCTTGCTGACATTGGTTTGCCAGCGATCCGTTCCCGTACCGAGAGAGGAAGACGCCCCAGAGTCCCCTTCCCTGAGACTTCTCGCACTAAGCTCTCGTTTGCCCAAATGGGGCCCCAAGGGCACACGTAGCTGCAGAGGAGGCTGGGACGGCAGGGGACTGGGTTGTCATGACCAGATCAGACACATCACGATGGACACGCACCGCTCCAAGCAAGACCAGAGAAGACAGCCCGGTCCTGAGCCCTGGTCCCTCTCCCCACGGCCCCTCCAGCTGGCCGAAGCGCCCTGCTGAAGCCCCCACGTGTTGGTCCCAGCCCAGGGCGCGGAGTCTGGTTGCCGTCACCACAAGAGCTCCAAGCGTGGGGAATGTGGGGCCTCCGGCAGCCTGTGCTTGGCTCTGCCCCGCCATAACCCCCCCCCCCCCCCCCCCCCCCCCCCCCCGCCCCTTCTCCCCTGTGGGTGTTGGCCTGGATCTGTTAAAGAGGTGGCTCTCGATTATAGACTGTCTAGCACGAGGCCGACCTTGCATTTCCCCAGGAAGCTGATCTCCGAGGACAGCATCAAAGGGCTCCTGTGCCCGCTGGGTTATTTAGGACATGGGGGAGTCCCCGCAGCAGCTCACAGGAGGGAGGAGAGTGAGATTGGGATATCGATTTCCCTGGCTCCCTCCTTTTGGGGCCACCTCGATGTTATAAGTTGAACTGTGTCCTCCTAACACTGGTATGTTGAAGTCCTAACCCCCAGGACCTCAGAATGTGATCTTACTTGGAGGGAGGGTCTTTATAGAGGTGATCAATCAGAAATGAGGTCACCAGGGTGGGCCCTGATCCAGTGTGGCTGTGCCCCTAGAAGGAGGGGAAACGACACACACACACACACACACACACACACACACACACACAGAAGTGCCACAGTGGAAGGTGGCCTTCGACAGGCGGAGGGCAGAGGCTTGGGGCAGGCCCTCCTTCACACCCCAGAAGGAACCAGCCCTGACGATTATCTCGATCTTGGACTCTGGGCTCCAGAATTGTGAGACCATTGACTTCTGCTGTTTCAGCCCTGTCTCTGGCACCTTGTCCTGGGACCCTAGAGGACAGACACACCCAGATCCCTTGACCGAAGGTCACCGCTCCTTTCAAAGATGGGAATGACCGTCGTCGCCTTCGTGGATCAGTGACCTCTTCCTCTGGCCTAGAGGCGGTATGGACCCCACCCCACCCCCGTCCAGCCCTGGGCCACCGAGTTACCCTTGGTGGCTCCCCTCCAACACCACCTGTCCGATTATCCTGATGCTGTGCCAGCCTGTTGGGACCCTGGCTGATCCATGCTGCCTTACTTTTTACAAGCTTTTTGGGATTTACTCTCATTTGTTTTTAGGACTTTATTATGCTTCTGAGTGAGATCGGCCTTTCTTACACTCCTTGACTCACACAATGACTTCAGGAGTATCCCTTCTTTTATCGTTCCCTGGAGGACTCTGGAATGATCTATCTTTGAAAGTTTGGTAGAATCCTGCATAAAATTCCCTGGGTCCAGAGTTTTCTTTACTACTGGTTCAGTATGTCAGTAGTTGCTGCACTGAGGATTCTGTTTTTTCTCGCACCAGTTATAGGAGGCCGCACTTTTATGAATTTGTCTGTCTAAATTGTCACATTTGTTGCCGTGGAGTTCCTGCTGGTGTCCCCCGTCACTTAATCTCAGACGGACCAGAGCCCTGACTTTGTGTCAGCCACCTCCTGGCCTCCCGCGCTGCGGTCGAGAAATCTGCTTTACGTCAGTTGTTCTTTCATAAGGACCCTCCGTCCTCTGGTGGCTTTTAGGACGCCCTTCTCTCCGACGTGGGGCTCCTCCCTGTCTCCTACCTTGCTTGCTGTCTGTTGGAACCTCACTCAGCTCGAAGGTGGCTGGCACCCTGCCTGGGTGGTGACTCAGGGATCCAGCCTCCTTGTATCTGGAGCTTCCGGTGTCCGGTGAGGCTTGGAGTCCACCCCCAGACACTTTTTCTGTGTCACCACTGACCTGGAAATTCAGGGTCCTGATCCGACAGTCATGTACTGACCTCACCATTCTGTGGGCTGGTAACTTGGCGTGGGCGGGGCTGGCCGGTACTCTGGGCGGGGCTGACCAGTTTTCTAGGAGGGGCTGGCTGGTTCTCTGGGCGGGGCTGGTGAGGGCGGAGCTAGCTGGTTCTCTGGGCGGGACTG